TCGTCCTGGCTGCTGCCGGTGTGACAGCCCAGCCACAGGTCTGTAGTTTGGGGAGCTGAGATTGGAGATGGTGCTATGCATGATCCCAGCTGGCTGCCAGCTTCCTTATTTATTTTCACCCAGCAGCTTGGCACCACTGACTGTTTTCTAGAGTGAATGTCCTCTGATGGCAGATCTCACCGACAGGATGGCCTGCCTGAGGGTGCCACCTCCAGACAGCAGCACGAGGCGAAGCGTCCACTCAGCACCGCTGTAGCAGCACAGCCCCGCTCTGAGCCACCCCCCAAGTTCCTCTGCTTTTAACTCCCTTCTCCACCTTTTCCCAAGGAAGGCATGGAGGTGCCAGCCCCGGAAGTCCTAGCCACACTCCAGGGTCCTGGCCCAGGCTGCTGTCTCCTACACAAAGAAGTGGCTGTTGCCAGATGTGTGAGAAACTCCCTGGGAGTCCTTTCCAGAACATTGGGGGAGTGCGATCATTTATTCTTGGTTGAGAAAATGATGGCCCGAATGCAGACTGGCACCAACAGATTTACCTGCTGGCCCATTTCCATCATTAGGAGCCTGCATAATTGTGGAGAGACCATCCTGGTGGGGGTGGGGGCGGGGGCAGGGAAGAGTCTGGCCCCAACACTGAGTGAGGGAATCGGTTGAAAGGCTGGGAAGAGGCATTTGATAAAGGGAGAAGTTGGGACTGGATTCAGAAATAGGGTGACCAGATACCCTGGTCTGTCTGGGGCAGTTCTGGTCTAGGTTTGCCAGCCAAGTTCCACTTCAAACAGCGCTCCCTTTCACTCACCGCCAAGCACAAGTCTAGACAATAGGTTTGGTGGTCCCCCAAGAGGGAGCCACTGCTGAAATTAACCCAGACAGTGGTGTGGCAGACGCAGGTCTCTGAGACGGTAGATGCTGCAGTGCCGGAGAGACACAGGTGGTTAAGGATCAGGCTGACCACGCTCAGGAATATGGAGAACGCCCCCCTACCCCCACCCCAGGGAGACATGGATGCAAATATGCCCATGTTTAGAAGTGAGTGTTTTCTTTTGGGTGGCATACTAGAATAGGGTGGGTCCCAAACCTCATCACTTCTGAATCACACCTTGAATAACCAACAGAGTAGCTATAGAGATGCACACACCAGGGGGACACAAATGCCAGGGGAGGGCCACTCTACAGGCAAAAGGAAGCCCAGGAGGAGTGGCGCTCCCCAGAAACGAGGGAGATGCCCACCTTTGAACTTGTGGCCTCTAGGCCTTTTAGAAAATAAATCTCTCATCTCCAAAGCTCCCCCACCCCCCGAAAAGAAACCCCAAACAACGAAGGCTATTCAAAGGCAGAGATTGCACAGGAGAAGGATCTTTGAGGTCATGGAATCTGCTCTTTTCTTTTATCCCGCTGAAAGACAAGACACATGGTGGGCTCTTCCACCTGAGTGGGGGCTTGCCACTGGGGCGGGATGCCAGGCGCTTTTGTTTGGGACAAAGAGGAAAGGATGACCAAAAGGTACTGCGGGGATCCTTGGCCAAAACCCAAACCAGAAACAGCAGCCGTGAGCATGGCTTCCGCACCAGGAAGAGTCACAGACGGTGCTGAGATGGGGTGAGGGGTTGAGAAGGGACCCTGGAGGGGGGCAGAGTTGGGCCGATGTGGACCAACTGAGCCTGCTTGGATGTGTGACTGGGGATTAAACTGAGACCTGCTTCACCCACCAGCTGTTCCTCCCTCGGGAGAAAGACAGGCCTTTCTACGCCCATACGCAGGGTCAGTCTGAGACACTCCCAGGAGCAGTTCTACCCTGTCCTGGAGTGTCGTTAGGAGTCTGGACGGACTCATGGCGGTGTGATCGGAACCACCACGGAGTGGTGTGCTGGGCAGAGTCCAGGGGAAAGCTCACGCCGACTCCCAGAAGAGATTAACCATCGAGTGGGACTAGGAATGCCCTAACAACCTGCAGGTAAACCTGGGGCTTGAAAAGCCTTAGGAGCCCCAAACACCATGACTGAAAGGGGTATTATGGTTCAAAGGGGAGGAGATCCCGCGACTGAAAGGCTAGCACTCTTGCAGGTGGTCAGTCCTGGGGAACCTCTTCTCCAGCCCCTGACAGAGCATCGGCGGAGCGGGGAGGGGAGAAAAGCTGTCAGCCAGAAACCTGGGTTTGGCAGACGGAAAAACTGAGTCACAGAGAAAATGACTTCCTCCTATCTTACAGCGCAATCAGCAAACGGGGTGTGATTAAGCAGCCAGGCCAGACACAATAACAGCGCACGGTCTCATCCGTCGCCGCCTCCTCCCAGAAGGCTGGGGCGATGGTGAACCTGACCCTGGACGGAGACGCATTTGTCCTGCTCACTAAGGAGCTGCGTTCCTTTTCCTACCCAGCTCTGCTCACTGTCAGACGAGGGTGCCGGCTCTGCCATCTCCCCAGAGCCTCATCCTCTGGTGGAGTTCTTCCAGGGCTCAGCTGACTTGGCTCAGCCAGTGGCACCCCAGGTCTTCTCTGAGGTCAGAGAAGGTCATATGCAACACCCTCATGGATTAGGAGAAGGTCTTTCTCTCCAAGTCTCTGACAAAGGGGGGACGTGGCGGAAGGCAGGCCGAACATCGTTTCAAAAAACACCGTCTCTGACCCAGATCTGTGCTTTTTCTCCCTCCGACTGCTCCTCAACCAGTGACGTACAATGAAATCCGTGAAGGGGTTGCAGCTAATCTGCAGAGGAGCTAGTTCAGGAGAGCACGCATAATCTCCTGCAGGCGGACGGCAGCCCAAGTGACCTGCTATCACCTTGAGTTTGGTCTTCCCACCTAGCACAGTCCTGTAAGCCACTGTCACGTGCACTCGGTGCTTTCCAACGTGTGGTGTTGAAAAAACAACAACAACCAAAAACCCCAATCTCCTGAAAAAAATCACAAGATGGTTTCAGTCTATATACAGCGAGCATACTTTTTTGGTTCAGTGAAACTTCTTTGATGGTAAATGTTCAAATATCTGCAAATAGTGAGAGAACACTCACAGACATTGCCCTTGGTTGCCACACTCACACGTCCATAGACGCCAACGGGGAAGACATGAAATACCAAATGCCTCCGAAGATTGTGTCCCAAGCTGCTTGTTCCTCTGTCTTCCAAAGCCCGACGACCAGCTTCCAACCACACACCGTGGGAAAGAGAGCCCGCCGGAGCCAAGGATGGGAGCCCGCGGGGAGGGGAGAACAAATGAGAGCTGGTAGTGGCTTTGGGTCGCCCACCTGTCTTCCTCCCTGCTCACGCTAGACTCGGGGAACCTCGACCAGAGAGTTGTCATGGTTTTCCAAGCGGTGTGCGCCCGAAGTCTGACGGAGGGTCCAGCCCTGTCCTCTCTCCCCTGACCCTGCCTGTGAGAGCATGCCCACCCGAGTCCTGTAGGGCGAGTGGCACGGCCACACGGTGAACATGGAGACAACGGCAGGCAGACGTGATTAAGGGAACGTAGGGGTGAGTCAGAGAGAAGGAGAACAAGGACCAGGCAAGAATCAGCAGCCGGCAAGAGACAACACCGGAAAGACTGGAAGAAAAGGCCCAAGGTCCAGTGTCCCCAGACACTTTCAGGAACGCCCAGAGATGCAGTGTCTGCGGCCCAGGAGCTGCTCCAAGTCCACAGAGAACCAGGCTGCACTTTGGACAACCTCCAAATGCCGAGCAAAGTCCAATGCTCTTGTGGCGGAACCATGCCACTCACAGTCAGTGCCCAACACCGCAGAGTCTGGTCGACCAGGGCTCCCAAACCAACATCTGGCTTCTTCACTTCTTTCGTGTAAAAATTAACATCACGTCACTGAAAGCTACCAAAAAAGACAGACTGAAAATATCACCTCAGGCAAATGAGCTGAAAAATCCCTTCGAGTGACACCCGATTTCTCCCCCAGTCCTTTCTAAAGGCAGAGGACACCTGGTTTGGGTCCAGGTGAAGAAGTGTCATTCCTGGTGTATGCTGTTTCCTGATGGGGTAGAACCGGAATGACATCACGGAAATAGGTGTGCCTGTGGCCAGTCTAAGCACAGTGTCTTGAGGGAAAAGGACATGGCAGGGCCGGTGGGAAAGCACAAGAGACCTCCTGTGACATGCCGATCTCTACTTTGACCACTTTCTGCAGTCAAAGGAAACGTTTTCATTCATTCCCAATAGGCAGCTTGCCAGGGGTCTTGGTGTCTTGGGCTATGCGTTGGGGTGCTCACCATGAGGTCAGCAGTTCAAAACCACCAACTGCTCTTCAGAAGAAAGATGAGGCTCTCTGCTCTCATAGCGAGGTACAGCCTCAGAAACGCACAGTGGAAGTCCTACAGTGCCTTATGGGGCCGCTCTGAGTTGGAATGGGCCTGCTGCCAAGCCTTTTTCCACACTCTTCGATCACCTAAAGTGATTATTCCACTTTGATGTGGATGACTCCACACCTCTGTTCTTTTGTCCTTTGGAAGGAAATAACACAATGTTTATTACGGTGGGGGGAGGGGAGGGAGGAGGCTTTCTGCCTTCCACTGGCGAGCAAGCCTACATCACACAAGATGCCTATTGCATGGCTCATGCGGACAGTCTAATTTGTGTGGCATTCCCATGGTGACAAAAGTGAGGATGTGGCAGACACGGAACGTATGGAATCCTTTGTCTTAATTAAAAAATACAGTGGGAGACATGGCATTTGGCCAAGCCTCATAAATCTGCACAGGGAGAAAAAACTCATGGCTCTGTCAGGTAAGTTTAACTAGAACCAGCGGGGCTCTCTGGAGAATTGACTAGATTCCTGGCTAGTGGTTGACACCCACACTCTCCTGTCGCTTGCCTGCACTCCGAGAAAGCAGTTGTGCTCATTAACCAGCAGCCCTCCTCCCCACCGATGACAAGCACATCCCCAGGAGCACAGAATTCAGAGATGATAAATTTACTCCTGCTTGTAAAAATGAAACACTCCTCAGGGCGATGAAAATGCTATGAGCCTTTAAGGAAGTAAGTACTTTATCCGATAACCTACCTTCATTAACAAAGCCTGGTCCTCTCGATCCGGGCAACTTTTCACTGCCAGGGAGAACTGCTCTAGTGCAACTGAAAGGGAAGAGAGGAAAATGGTGATCTCCCAACTGCGGGCACTTCCGGCATGACCAGCAAGAGTGTTGTCAGAGCAGATATTTCTTTTTTTTCTGATCATTTTATTAGGGGCTCATACAACTCTTATCACAATCCATACACACATGAATGTGTAAAACGCATTTGTACATTCATTGCCCTCATCATTCTCAAAACATTTCCTCTCCACTTAAGCCCCTGGCATTAGGTCCTCATTTCCCCCCTCCCTCCCCGTTCCCCTCTCCCTCATGAGGTCTTGATAGTTTATGAATTGTTATTTTGTCATATCTTGCCCTGTCCGACGTCTCCTTCACCCACTTTTCAGTTGTCTGTCCCCCAGGGAGGAGGTCACATATAGTTCCTTGTAATCGGTTCCCTCTTTCCTACCCACTCTCCCTCTACCTTCCCTGTTTCGCCACTCACACCACTGGTCCTGTAGGGAAGAGCAGATATTTCTATCCGGTGTGCTGACCAGCCTTCCTTGCCGAATCTGAAATGCAGTGCCAAGTTTCCCTCCCAAGTCCCCAACATCATCTGTGTGGCACACACCCATCTGTCAGTTGGTTGGACTGTGGTGGTGCTTGCGTGTTGCTCTCACGGTGGACGCCAAGCCACCGGTCTTTCAAGGAGCAGATGGGTGACCCGTGGTGGGTGAGTTTAAGCAGCGCTTCCAGACTCAGGGCCGAGGGGGTGCTTCTGAAAATCAGCCAGTGGAAACCCAATGGATGGCCACGGCGTATGATCCAGTCTCGTGCTCTCAGAAGAGCCCCCCAGGTTGGGAGGTTCTCAAATTGCACAGCGGTTGAAACCATGGACGTGAGCGGCCCAGTAACACTGTAGACGATGGGGGGCCAGGCCACATTTGCTTCTGCCCCCAGTGGGGCCGGCACAAATGGGAAGGCTACTCACTACAACACATGCAAAACAAACAAACCCCAAAAGCCAACCTTGGGAATGAGGGGCTGGCATGAAGGCAAACGTGTACATTTCTTGGTGGTTTCCCCTCAGCTGAGGTGCACATGTGACATAGACACTTGCGCCAACAGTGGCTTTGGGGATTTGCACGTCCCCGACAGGAGGGAAGCTGACAGTGACGGGGCTGGCCCTCCCGGCTGTGTGCCGCTCCCTGCACCAGTCGGCTTGACTCCCTGGCAAGGCAAGGTGGCAAGGAACGTCCCAAGGCCAATATTCCACGCAGCTTTCCCTCCTCCACTTTTCAGTTGGAGAATGAAAGCATTTGGGGATCCCTTTCCTTGGCTGCTGTTGCCAATTCAAGAGAGGGACTACTTAACGAGGAAGAGGCGCGACACCAGACAAGCATGGACAGACACCCCAAGACTTCTCTGAGGTGGCACAGGTTTCCCTGCACCGATGCTGCTGGACGATTCAGGAGCTATGATGCTCACTGCGCTGACAGGGCCCCGGGCCATGGGCTTTTCACCGGCAGAAGCCAAGCTTTCTAGCTGTCTAGTTAAGTTCTCCTGGGCGGGGACTTCACACCTTTCTGACACACAGATGTCGGCCTGATGGTAAACAAAGGAAAACATTTCTCCATCATGAGTCGCTTTGGGGTGAGAGCGGGGTGATGTGAGGGAGATGCACAGGAAAAATGACCCGCTTCAAGTAAAAAACAGTTGTTGGAGAGGAAACGTATACATACATATATGCCTATACAGAATACCTATGTGGTGTAAATGGGCATGAGAGCGATCCTAGATGTGGTGTTCCACTGGAAGCTTTTGCAAGGTCTCCCCCACTTTGTAAGAAAGTGTCCCCTTCAGAATGGCTGGCCAGTCCACTCGTTATCGAAGAATCTGTTTGTCTTGGATTATCGTCAGGCACACATCTCTGTGCTACAAAAATGTTAAGTCCCCGCCAAGGAGAACTTAACTAGAATACAACTGACCCTCATGACGACCCTGTCCTTCTGCCTTCCTTCCAGAAGAGTGGGTTGGTGGTTACATCGGACCCAGTTGCCGCAGCCTCCCTCCAGCCATTCTGGAAGGGGGTGTGGGGAGCATGCTCTCACTGCATGGGAGAGACCTTGCAAAAGTTTCCAGGGCAGAGTGGCACCCAGCATAGACCTCCTTCTGACACACAGAGCAGGGCAGGGGATGAGAAAGGCAAGTGAGATGCAGTACACCACTGTACGTGTCTTTCTCTCAAATGGCGAGGGGGGACGGGGACCCGTCATTAAGCAGCAGGAACAACGGACGCCACTGCACGACCCTGTCCTGGGGCTGGACTGCCAGGAATTCTGCCCCAGCATGTTCTTTCCCCTGTGGCTGTGCCAGCGTCCTGAGAGACGGAGGCCCAGTCCCGGAGCAGAGTGCAAGGGAGCCTTGCTCTGCCGCTTCTCCGGCTGCAGCCTTTCCCCCACAGGAAGCAAGCACTCCACTTCTCCAAGTACACCAACTCTGGGTGTCCTGGCCCAAAGACCGTTTCCTAGGAATGTGGTCTAGAAGTGCTCTTCTAGACCCCTGGGGTAGCCACAGGCAGCTGTTTGCAGACCTGTGGACAGAGCTTGGGTGGCAGACTAGAGGATGTACGTGGGAGGCTCTCAGAGTGTGTGGTGGAGCTGGGGGGGCAGGGGGGTGAGGGGAGCGGTGAATGGGCAGGGGCAGCTCCTCCCCATGCTGCACCCTTCAGACACACAACTCCCAGGAGTCTGGGAATTAATTCTAGGCTGGCTTTTCAGCTGAATGAAGGTACATTTGCCCAGGCAGGCGGGCAATGTTGGATCTTGTATTCCACACTGTGTAAGCTCTTCTTACACACCCAGGAGCTGAGGCCTGTGATGTTATGATGTGTAGCCCTCTGTTTGCACGCTGGCCCAAAGTGCCCCCCTGCAGAAAGGCAGGCCTGTGACAGGGACCAAGGACTAGGCTCGGCCAAGCCTCGTGGAGCCAAGTTCTTCACCCTCACTCCGGGAAAGAGGCTAGTCTGCAGGGTAACAGGAGAATAAGGCATTTACCTTGGTTCCTACAATGAGGACAAAAAGCTTCCTTTTAAGAGCAACAGAAGTTTGGAGGTCCACAGGGGTGGAGTCTGAGCAGCCCGGAAGGGCTGGGCTGGTGGACACTGTTCTCGGGAGCAGAGACCCTCCTGCTGAGGCTTCCCTGGCACCAGGGCCACGAGTCCCTGATCTCAGGGCCAGACTGCCTTTCCAGGAAGTCTGATGGACCACCTCTGCTCACCGGGTGCCAGAGGACCAGCTTAAGGCCCCTCGAGTGCTCGTGCACATGCTAGAGTGTACACGCACACGCACACACATACACACGGGTGCGGCAGTATGCGTGGCACCTGCAGGGGAGGTTCCTGATGACTCTTGCCCATTGATTCTGTAGCACATGGCATGGGAGACCCATGGTGACCACCCCTCAGCCCATTCCTCTAAGATTCGCAGCGCTCTCAGCTCCTTTTGCAGAACTGCCTGTCGCTGCAGGCCTCTGAAGTCCCCCACCCACCTCTTCTTTACAGCATAACAGGGACAGTTGAAAGAGCGCGCATGCGAGCGAGCAACAACAGGGCTTCGCTGATTTTTGTAAAAATAACTCCAGCTTTGTTTTCAGAACCAACATGGGGGTGGCGAGCATGAAACAGGGGCTTTCAGCTTCCTGGCAACTCACATCCGAGATGTTTCCAGCCTCCACCATGCTGAGATGGGGTGTGGGGCTGTGAGCTGGCCCTCCAGAGCCTCTATGCCGGGGCATGGGAAGCCCCATTCGTGTGGTGTGGCCTGGCTGGTGGCCATGCACTGCTCACGAGCCCCCTCTCCAGCTTGGGCGGTCTGTCCCAGAGCAGGCAGTGCACAGCCATGTGTGTGGCTGTCTCTTCTCAGTTTCCAAATCTAGAGACAAGGGCCCAGAGAGGGGTTTCTTCCCCTGCTCCACCAAGGCTGGTCACAAGTCCCTAGTCCCCGGAACTAAGTCTGGGCAGGTTTTCGACCCACTCGTCCTGGACCCTGGCATCTCAAGGGGCACCCATTCCACCAGGATGGGGGTGGGAAGCATTGGTGCCAGTTCTGCTCTCCATCCCTGCTGCCACTACCAGGCTGCTGGGGTCTGTCTCCTCCATGTGCACTCACTCACTCACTTCGGTGCCCTCTTCCCCAAGGCTCTGCCTCCACTGCATCTCTTCCCTGAGGGCCAGGTGAAGCTCCCGAGGGGAACCTGGGATTCTGGTCACCCTCCAGTTCAGCTCCTACATTGGCCAAGGCCAAGCTCTGGACCCAGGATTCAGAACACCCCACGGATGGCCCTCAGCCCACTTGTCCTGTCCCCTCCTTTCAGTGTGCTTTCCGGGCCTGACCACAAAGACTTTCCTTCCAGTGGAACATACCCGCCCCTTCGTCCCCACTGTGCCTCTCCCAAGAAGGCACTGCCCACATCCCCATCGTGGAGACCTGGTTCACACCCCGACACCCAGGACCAGTGTCTCGGGGCCACGTAGCATCTGCAAGCATAAGGCACCTCTCCTGGGCTCTTCACACCCCACCTGCCCAGGAGGCAGGCAGGCTTGGAACTTACTCCCTTTACTGGATTGAGCATACGGATCCGCCACTCCTAGCTCCCCTTCTAGCAAGTCAGAGTTGTCGAAGCAAACATTTAAAAAAAAAACTAAGGCGCATTCCCTTCGACTCATTGGAGACCTGTAGGAACTCCGTCCACAGAGAGAAAGTGTGGACTTACAGAGATTGTACTTCTCTG